ACCTCGACGATTGCCTTTTGTCGAAAGAGACATTGTAGACAAGCATATTCAAACTTGGTTAGCCGACGGCATAATTGAACCTTGTTCTTCCGAAATATTCTAAAATTACTAAATTTTAAAATTACTAAATTTCTAAATTACTAAATTACTAAATTCTAAATAAGTCTTAGTAGTACAAAAAAAAAAAAAAAAAAAAAAAAAAAAAAAAAAAAAAAAACCGGCAACCCTAGAGTTTGTATTGACTATCGGAAATGAAACAAGAAAATAGTTAAAGATCGGTATCCCTTACCCTTAATACAAGACTTATTGGATAAACTACAAGATGCTCGTATATTCACTACAATCGATCTAAAAAATGCTTTCTTCCATGTTAGTGTCGACAAAAACAGCCGACATTACACTTCATTTGTCACACATAATAGACAATATCAGTTTCTACGTGTACCTTTCGGTCTCTGTACGTCTTCTGTATTTCAAAGATTTGTAAATTCCGTTTTCAAGGATTTAATCTTGCATGGTCATGTTTTATTGTACCTAGATGATATCATAATTCCTGCTAAAGATGAATATGAAGGGATTCAGCGTTTGAAATCCGTTTTCTCGGTTGCATCTGCTTATGGACTCGAAATTAATTTTAACAAATCTAAATTTTTAAGTCTGAGAATTGAATTCCTTGGTCATGTCATCGAAAATGGTCAACTGTTCTCCATCTCCTCTTAAAACAGCCGCTGATTATTAATTATCCTGAATCTAAAAGTCACAAAGACTTGCAAAGTTTCCTTGGTCTTGCCAGGATATTTCCGTAAATTTATTCTCAATTCCTCAATTTTTCCATAATTGCTCAACCATTAACTGATCTTCCTTAAAAACGGTAACGACTTTACCGTTTTTAAGGATATTTTCATTGGTGAAAATACGAAAGAACAAGCTTTCAATCTTTTGAAACGACGTTTATGTGAAAAACCCGTACTCAACATCTATAATCAACACAGCGATACCGAAATACACACTGATGCCAGTATCCATGGTTATGGTTGTATACTCATGCAAAAATCTATGATTGATAATTGCCTGCATCCCGTTTATTGCATGAGTAAAAAGACATCTGACGCAGAAAAGAAATTCACCAGTTACGAAATTGAAGTATTAGCTGTAATTCATGCTTTGAAAAAATTTAGAGTTTATCTTTTAGAAAAACACTTCAAAATTATTACTGACTGTAATGCGTTCAAAATGACGATGAACAAGAAAAACTTAAACACACGAATAGCACGTTAGGCATTGATCTTAGAAGATTTAGGAAATAGAACACAGAACTGGAACACAAATGACACATGTTGATGCATTAAGCAGATCCCCTGTTATAGTCATCACTCAGGATAGCCTCATTTTGAAAATACGAAACGCTCAAGAGCAAGATGATCACATCCAAGCTATCAAAGAAGTCTTAAAAGTTAAACCTTATGATGACTATTGTGTTAAAGCTGATTTACTTTATAAATTTCTACACGGTAAGGACTTACTTGTTATTCCAGAATCAATGCAGAGTGATATAATTAAGGACGCACATCTTCGTGAACATTTCGCTTCTAAACGAACAGAAGAACTCATCAAACAAGAATTTTATATTCCTAAACTTAAAGATAAAATTGACAACTATATTGATAATTGTGTTCCTTGCATACTAATTAATCGTAAATGTGGTAAACAAGAAGGTATATTGCATTCTGTACCTAAGCAAGATGTACCACTTCACCCATATCACATTGATCATTTAGGGCCACTCCAGAGTATCCATAAAAATTACAAGTATATATTTGCTGTTATTGACTCTGTAAAAGAGTCAAGTTTGTATGGCTTTACCCGACAAAATCTACTGATAGCGCTGAAGTAATATCTAAATTGGAAAATCAAAAATTTGTCTTTGGAAATCCTTCGCGTATAATTTCAGATAAAGGATCAGCATTTACTTCAAAAGATTTTCAAGATTATTGTTCAACCAACAATATACAGCACATTCTAATTACTACAGGACTTCCTCGTGCCAATGGACAAATTGAAAGGTTGAATTCTGTCATAATTTCTGTTCTTTCCAAATTATCGATTCAAAATCCGTCAAAATGGCACACACACGTGAAGTTCAGCAAGTGATCAATTCAACATACCAACGGAATATCAATACAACTCCATTCGAACTCATGTTTGGAACTAAAATGAAATCTGCTAATCATGATAAAATTACAGAGCTGTTAAATGCAGAGATCCAGTCATATTTCGTCAACACTCGTGAGGATCTTCGCAAGGAAGCTAAACAACAGATTTTGAAAGTCCAGGCTGAAAATCGTCAAACTTACAATCTGCGACGTAAACCATCCCGTAAGTTCCAGCTTCATGATCTAGTAGCAATCAAGCGTACACAATATGGACCTGGTCTTAAACTGAAACCCAAGTTTCTCGGACCCTATAAAATCGTGAAAATCAAACCAAATGACACTTATGATGTTGAAAAATGTGGTTTCTTCGATGGACCTATGAAAACAAGTACTTGCGCCGAATTTATGAAACCTTGGACTTCATCAGAACATATTAACTGAACTTTAGTGTTTTATGGACAGTTACTCATATGAACTGCTCTACACTTTTGGACTTTAAATCCTATCCATCTTTTCTTTGATTATGATTACTAATTATTATTTTTCTATTTTTCTAGGTGCTGTTATTAGAAGATCCAGATAGAATATTATTTTCATTTATCTCTTTAATTTAGTATTTCCATTTATCTGTATTAATTTAGTATTTTCATTTATAGTTTAACAGTATTAGTATTTTTTCTTTTTGCTTTATTTTATATGTTAAATTTCACTGTTTGCTCTTGTCATCTGAGGGCAGATGACTATGTCGGATGGCCGAATTATGTGGGAACTGTAACTGTAACTAAGATTATGTAAGAGGGCAGATTACTATGTCGGATAGCCGAATTATGTGGGAACTGTAACTAAGATTATGTAAGAGCGCCATCTAGATTAGGGTGTGGTCAGATGAGATAAAACGTGAACGATAGTGAGGACAGACGTGTCCAAAATGTTTTGACGATTATTCTTTTTACTTTTCTTTTCATTATAATGTAAGTAAATAAATCTTAGTTTAACTTCATAAGTTGTAGTTATGCTTATCATCAATCCTTCCCCATATTAAGAGCAATGGGATGAAAAAAAATGTAGAAATGTAACAGTTATTTTTAATCAAGATTGTGTACAGCATTTTCAGATCTAACGTTTTTTTAATTACTATCGAATAATTTCTATTAAGCGCAGTGTTTGGAAATTTTGAGATTAGGAGATAAGGCCAACGATCTCTGGCTGAGTTACAAAAATTGTTAGCTTTATTTGGAGCTGGAGACACCTCTAGCGTAAAAGTGATTGGCCCTCCATTCAGAACAGGGACAAGGATGAGTCAACTGAGACACTTGCCTCAGGTGAATGACTAAGGGTGACGCCAAATTGGCTGCGAAAGGAGGAGTAGCAATAAGCCTTTTATTTGGCCCCCGCTGATTCTCTATATTTGTTGTGTAATATTAGTATCTATCGATGAACCATTGTTGAGAAAAAATAAATTGACTTCAGTTTTCATCTAGGCAAAGATTCTATACTTGTGGTGTAAAGGTGCTAATACTTACAGATGAGGACAAAATAAAAGCATAAATGTCATTAGTATTTTTATTTATACAAAATGTAGATAAAAAATGAACTCAGTATTGAGAAAAAGCTTAATAATTACTGCATTTTTCTCACTGATCTTCTTAGTCAAACTAACAAGGAGCAACATCTAAGAAATCCAAATAATCAGTCTATGATTTTAATATGCGATGCTGAGTGTTTAATATCGAACCTTCGATATTGTTTCGAAATGCCCAGCTGCAGTGATATAGCTTCCCGCAAAACGGGGTTAGGGTTGCAAGAAAGTGGCAAGAAAAGACAAGATTGTAACATTTGGGGCATTATCGCCTAATTGACGATATGCCATAAACGAGCAAAAATCTAGAAGCTCTTGGGTGCGGGAATTCCGAGTAGATAATCTTTTACTATTACGCGAGATGGAGTAGTATGTTTGGTTCAAAATAGTTGAGAACTGACGGCGAAAAGTTGTGTGAACGCCCCCGTTTACAGAGGCCTAGTTTAATAATAAAGCCTACTGGTAAGAAGAGAGAAGCACAACTCAGGAAGGAGCTCCAAGAAAAAGCCCCGATTAGCAGCCTACAAATTGCGGTGGAGCATATCTCCTCAACATCGAAAGGAGAGTTAGAGGTCTTTTGCAAATCAACTAAAGACATAGATCAATTAGAAGAGAAATTACAAAATGCCAACCTTGAGATTGATCTGCAAAGACGGCAAAGAAGAAAGCCACGCTGCACAGTTCATAGCGTCCCGGACAACATCATGCCCGAGGAACTCATCGGGGAAATCGCTGCAACAGCAGAATCCCATCCACAGGCATCAAAGCGCTCTTCAGACTCCGAGAACGGAACCCAAAGCGAGTCAAATGGGTTTTGGAGTGCCAACCGTCCATCCTTCCGGCAGTTCTTAGGGCAAGACGAATTTTCACAGGCTGGCACGCACACGCAATCACAGAGTACCTGGGCATCCGTCGCTGCTACAAGTGCCAGCAGCTCGGACATACCCAGAATAAATGCACATGCAAGAAGAACTTCTGTGCCTACTGCGCCGGACCGCACAATGTCAAAAACTGCAAAGCAGAACTACCAGAATGTATTAACTGCCGTGACGCAAACGATAGACATGGAACCATGCACGACTGTAGGCACCCAGCCTACGCAACTGAATGCGCAGAATACCAGCGAGCAGCTGCCTACATCCGCAGCATCACCCAATATTAATAACAACACACCCACGTAATTGCGAAAGTCAACAAGCGCAAAACGTTCAGATAAATACAGTGTTTTTAACTCAAACGAAGAACCCATCAGATTTTTACAAATCAATATGCAGCGAGCCAGGGCTGCGGTCGCTCAGACAGTTCAATTCGCAATTGATAATAAAATAGACTTTATCATAGGTCAAGAGCCATATACCTGCGATGGCGCGGCAGCAGGTTTTCCATTGCAATGGACAGTATTTCAAAGTTCCAATCACGACCATCCACCAAGAGCTATAATAATAAGCTGTAATCCAGACTGGTCTCCAACATCTATCTCACTCGATCAAGATCATGTAGCAGTGCTCGTAGAAGTACATTCCTTCTTAGCGTCGATCTATTCTCCTCCAACAGCGGATATTGGCCCGACGACAAGATTCATCCAAAGTTTCATACATCGATTTAAAATCCCAAATATGATCTTCGCAGGCGATTACAATTCACATAATACGGCCTGGGGATATCGAACTACAGACCCGAAAGGGAGAGAACTAGAGGACTTCATATCCTCAAGTAATCTAATAGTCCAGAATACAGCAGATGCACCACCATCCTTCGACAGGGTCTTTGCGCCGGGATTGCCAGACCTCACCCTGATCACTCTGCACATAGCATCTCTTTTGCAGGGCTGGAAAGTCAAAGAGGAAGAGAGCCTCTGTTATCACAAATTCATTACCTTCTCTCTATCGCAGACCACCTCACTGTCAAGATCAAACTCTATAACCAACCGGGCCGGAAATTAATAACGAAGAAAATTAAAGTGCCTAAGTTAATAATTTACGAAGAAAAGCAACTAATACGCCTCGAACCTTCACTCCAACTAGCTAACACGGCAGCAGAATTCTCCGTAATATTACAAGAAACAATGCAAGCCATATGTAATGAAAATCTCCCTCTTAGGAAACCTAAGAGACTCCAAGGCATTCACTGGTAATCGAGTTCGTTCAAAACACAGCAACGCAAGTGCAGAGCCCTGCGACGGAGACTCAAAAGCGAAAGACGGTTAGAAATAAATTCCAACACCCTCAGCATATTTCAACGGGAGCGGGCGCGGTACAAAAAGATGATTATTCAGGCTAAGATTACTTCCTGGAGGGAATTCTGCACCCAAGCAAAAAAGACGTATGGTATTCACCACAAAATAGCTACCGGTAAAATTTTTAAACCTTCGCAGCTACAGATCCCTCTCTCAATCACCAACAGTCAGGAGTACACGGCAGACACCCTACGTACGCTCCTAAACGCAGTTTTCTGCAAAGATGATGTACAGCAGGACACAACAGAACAAGCTCTTCTCAGGACAGTAACAACCACACTGGACACCCCAACAGACCCGGATATTACAATTAATGAACTTCAAAAAGTTCTTGCAACTCTGCCGCGCAAGAAAGCCCCTGGGCCCGATGGGATGGACTATGCTATCACCAAAGCAACGATCAAAACTCACCCTAAATTCTTTGTTGACTATTTCAACAAGCTTCTGGCAGCAGGTATATTCCCAAAACCATACAAGATAGGGCAAGTTATTTTATTTCTGAAAAAGAACCGGAACCCAGCCGAGGCCACATCCTTTCGTCCTATCTGTCTCTTATCGGCAATGGGTAAGGTACTAGAAAGGATTATCATGAACAGGCTACGGTACCATTTACACACGCAAGGATTCTTAAGCTCCGAGACAATACGGGTTTAGGACGGGCACTTCTACAGTCCACCTACTCTTCGACATTAGAGAAGCAATTTTAGAGAATCGACATAGCGGCCACCATACTGCCATGATAAGCATAGATCTCAAAAACGCTTTTGATACATTATGGTGGCCGGCTATCAAACAGGCTCTGCGGAAGGCAAAATGTCCGAGCAACCTGTATAAGATGCTAAGCAACTATCTACAGGATAGAAGACTACTAGAGCAGTTCACAACTCAGGCATAATAGAACAGGAGCAGACGAGAGGCTGTCCACAAGGGTCGTGCGCTGGTCCACACCTGTGGAATCTAACTTTCAACGAAGTTTTAACAGCTACATGGCCAGCGCACACAAAGATCTACGCCTACGCAGACGACGCAGCGCTAATAGTGAAAGGTCGAACCCGAAGAGAATTAGAGACTCACTGTAACGAAGTGTGCCAACAATTCTATGCCCTATGTGACAACCTTAAACTGAAAATTGCAGAGCACAAATCCAAAGTGTTATTAATACCTAAAAAGGGAGGTTCTCTTTCAAGAAGACCAACCATTAAGATCAACAATCAGAGGATACAAATAGTCAATCAACTAAAATATCTGGGCCTTACGTTCGACCACAAGATGACCTGGATACCACACATCCAGGACATCAAAATTAGAACAGTGACAATAGCGAAGCAAATGCGATTATTTCATGGCCACAAATGGGGCCTCAATCCTCATATTCAGAAGGTCCTCTTCACCACAGTGGTGGAAAAGATAGTCACTTATGCAGCAGCAGTATGGGCTCACCCAATGCAAAGCAGGAAAATTAAACACCTTTCTACCATTCAAAGACCTTTTGCATTGGGTATCACTAGAGCCTACCGCACGACGTCTTCAGACGCGATCAACGTGCTGGCTGGCCTTCTTCCCCTACACATCCGTGTCGAAGAGGAGGCAGCAAGACAAATCGTCCTGCAGCTTAAAAGACCTGTCACCTTTGAGGAAGAATATTTTAATCCAGAGGACTATGAAGCTAAATGCTGCCCTCTGAAAATCCATCCAGCAGCCAAAGGCACCGGAATAAGCATAATTACCAATCCAACTACGGCCCACCGTCCAGCACAGATTACTATCTTCACTGACGGGTCGAAGATAGACGAAAACGTGGGAAGTGCCTATGTGGTCATGCTGCAAAGATACAGTCATAGATCAATGGAAGGGTCAACTAAGGCAATTTAATAGCGTTTTTCAGGGAGAAGCAGTGGCAATTGCGCAAGCAATCCGCTACCTGCAATCCCACCACTCCCGCAACGCTACAATAAAGACAGACAGTCTTTCTTCGCTATACGCAATAGGAAACCCTGACCACCCCATCCGATATTATTCAGGGAATACAGGAAGATCTGCGAAAAAAATTCCCAACTCCATACAAGACTTGAATGGATCAAAGCGCATGCCGGCCACCACGGCAATGAGTTGGCTGACCATCTAGCCAAAGAAGCTGCCACAGGAGCAACATCTCAACAAATCAACATCCCATGGCCAGTGTCTTCTTACCTGAAAAGAACATTGCGCTTAAAGGCAATCGGGAAATGGCAGCAGACATGGGATAACAGCGATACCGGCCGACGGACTTATTACCATGTCAGCTACGTGGACACTACCAAAAATTTTGCAAACATGCAATTGGTAAGATACATTACGGGTCACGGACCATTTCCCGAGTACTTTAACAAACGCGGGATAAGTAACACTAGCCAGTGCGCCTGTGGACAGACTGGCTCTCCGGAGCATTATCTAACCTCCTGTCCCCTTACAGAAGGGCTACACATCAACCTTCCGTCGACCAATCGACAAGCTTTCTGTAAGTTTTTGATAAAACAGAGGCACTTGGTTAGAAAAATAGGGCTTTTAATGGATAAACTGGCCGATCTTAACACAGACCTGTGCCATACTTAGCAGCATATAGACGAATAGTAATTCAGTGTCTAGCACCAACTACCAACACCACAAAATAACTGTGAATTATCGTAAGGAGTGTCCAACACTCCTAGTAATATAGCAAGAATAAACTATTTAATCAATTTGCATTATGCCAACCAAACGAATTATGTCTATTATCTGTACCGCAATATGTAAATAAGGACCATCTGTACCTGTTTATAAATGTATCTTAAGTACCATCACCATGTAGTTATGTTTTATGTATGTATATGTATAATGCACCCAATGCTTCTATACTCAATGTAATTATGCGCCTTGTATTTGTATATATATGTTCTAGTATAAATGTTACTGTATTGATCATTAACTGTATTAATCATTGTTGTATATGCATGTTCGATTTGTATTATAGAATTATGAATATAATAAATTGTTTTATGCCCGGCAATGCAGCGCGTGCGAATAAAGGAAAGGTAAGCCGAAAAATTGAAAATGCAAGAGCGCGTGCATTTAACATTAAATAAATATCTCTTTTTGATTTCGAGAAAGTTCCAGAAAATTCTTGAGCGCGATTTAAAATCTTGTAAAAGGAGGAAAACCGCTCAATTCGGTGATTTTAGTTAGTTACTTATTTTGTTGTTGTTTTAAGAGTTTGTTTAGAAAACTGCTCTTGTTGACTCTAGCAAATTCGCGGATTAGCTTTCTCTAACTGTTTTGAATTAAGTTCTCTTGAACGTTTGAGTAGTTAAAAGATAACTACTGAGAGATATTGTAATACTGCACGAATATTTTAGGAAATTTAAGCATATTTGTTTGATAATAATAAATTTTTGGCTAAATCGCAGAATAGGCTGCATCAGTCGATGCTGTGTTTACTTCTCTTATGCTTGGACACACTGTTTTATGACATAATATTGATTACGCCTCTTCTTATAAACAAGTTATAAGAAGTAATCTATAACTTCGTATTTAAAGAAAACTTTTAACTGAGTTGAAATGGTAGGTTTATAATGTTCTGCGCGAGATTTTTTTAATTATAAATCTATTTTTGTATGTTGTGTGGTAGTGTTAGCATTTAAGGCAACGAATTATCTCTCACAAATGTATTATTAAGATACCAAATGATTGAAAACGATCATTAGCAAACGATTGAAAATATTGAATGCATGAATTAAAAATTATAACCTTAACTTCTGAAAATACAGAAAAGAATTCTTTTGCTAAAAGAATGTTTTAATTATTGATTATTGATTGTGTCAAAATCGGTGCTTACCACAGAAAGGATGAGTATCTGAATCTGGATTTTTTTATCAGTTGGAGCGAAGAGGTAAAAAGAGCGTTATTGAGTGGTGTATGGAGAAAAGTTTGAATTGCAAGACCGTATAAAGTGCTCAAATTTGTGGAAACTGAATATGAAACTAATAGAGCGAAAAAAACCGTATAGACGGTTTTGAGTGGATGTGTAGAGTTACTGGAGGCGAAGGTAGGCATCGAATTTCAAGCTCTGTTCGAAAGAACTCCTGGTTTGTGAAGAGTAAATTCCACAACTCAAATCAATGGAGTTGGTTACTCGTGAGTTTCTGCAATTCTTCGATTTTTTTAAGTGAAAGCAGATTTCTGAGTATATGAGCAATGGAGAATTTATTCAATGTCTGATTTTTTTAAGTAAAAATATATCGATGTGCACATGGGCAAAGCCAATGTGATGCGCAATGCCGAGGTTGTGCGCGATGCCGAGTTTGTGCAATTCTGGGATGTTTTTTAAGTGAAAATAGATCGAAGGGCACATAGGCAAAGCCAATGTGGTGCGCAATGCCGAGTTTGTGCAACTCTGGGATGTTTTTTAAGTGAAAATAGATCGATGTGCGCATGGGCAAAGCCAATGTGGTGCGCAATGACGAGGTTGTGCAACTCTGGGATGTTTTTTAAATGAAAATAGATCGATGTGCACATGGGCAAAGCCAATGTGGTGCGCAATGCCAAGTTTGAGCAATTCTCTGAATTTTCTTTAAGTGAAAATAGATCGATGAGCACATGGACACCGAGTCTGTGGAATTCTTTGATGTTGCGAATACTGATTGTTGTGTAAAAGGGAAATGAGGTTGTCTGCAATGCCGAGCAGTAATGTAA